CCTGTGCACTTTTGGTGGCATCCGTTCTGTCTTCACATTCTCGTGTCATATATTGATGGCATGAACTATCAACACCACGAAGCTCAAAAAGTTGTTCCCCCCGGGTCCGCAGTGGAAACAATCAGCTATAAACGCTCCAACGGTTAGTGTATCACTGAAACTAATATCTCTCTGATTGCTTTATGACATTAAGGTTATATTTGGCCAGCGTATCGTAAAGGCTTGTATTAGCATTGTATTGAGTTCAAGTTTAAATCAGATTGCAAAATGCATCAATACATCGTAATGTACTTTGGATGACTTTAATTTTCTTCTGCAAAACCACATCTGTATGGATTGTTTTGGAAAGGTATTTGCACTTCTCTTCAAAATAACTGTCAGCTGCTTGTTCTGTCAGTGGTGCTTTTTTATTAGATAGAGATGCATCATTTAGATTAATCGTGTCAAAAAGTGTACATAAAGGAAATGTGCCGCAAAAATTACCATTAGCAACATAGAATGGTAATAGCTTTTATAGCCTAATTATATTCCCTAGAAATAATAGTCACAGCCAGGGATAAATAACACCTCCATTTGCAATCTGATCCACCTCCATTTGCAATCTGTGGGAATTCAAGTGTTAATTGATGACTGGCAAAGATTTTAGCTCTAGCACCCATCTAAGTACCATCTAAATCCAAGTACCCATGGGAGTGACAAATGAGAGAGGGCAAAGTTTGGAGCAAACAGGTGTTGGGTCTCACCACCTCACTGTAAACCATCAGCCACAGTGACGAAAGCTTCCCAGAGTTCACTTCTATTCCTCCACTCTGTCACTAAGCAAGTTTACAGTATCACAAACAGGCCTTTGCTCATACTGTGGCAAGACTGATGGAGACGAGCCAGGGCGGGGCAAGGAAAACCTATTAAGGACATGATGGAAAGCCAAAACCTTCAAAAGGTACTTATTTCTTTGCAAGTGTTCGGTTAAAACTCGGTGTAGTTATACATACAATCTACAGATACATGGGTAAAACTTTTTCTCAAGTGGTTCTCTTAATTTTAAGACTACCTAATCCTTACCTTTCAGACTTTGGGAGTTTTTATTTTTCTATTTAATTTGGGAATTTCACATGGTTTCTGTCTGAGTGACTCAAAAAAGTAATTGTACACTTTTTTTTGTGCTATACAGTAGGCCATTTCAAATGCATATTTTGCACCTTTGCCAGACAGATCTCATAAAGATAATAGGAGGTTGACATTTTTGGCAGCAGCTAAAGGTGATGTGTGCTCTAATGTTTTCTCTAGAAGTTCCTCTAGTGACTTGTACTACTGTATCACTGCCGCACATTTGCATGACACCGCGCAATAACTTTGTTCCTTCAATATACTGTAAATTACATCAAAGGTAAAACACACTTGGATGTTTGGAAACATTTGAGTAGCACTACATATACTTCTGACCCAAATTCAGACAGAGATCAGAGTGGTGCAGGTATGATGTCAGAACCCGGTGTTATAATGGTGTTTTTCAATTTACGAGTAAAATAAAGCCTGTGGTGAACATAATTTGAAGATACTTTGGGGTTTTCTTCTACAACGTACACTGCACACTTAAACCCAAAGCTGTCTTATCGAGTCACAAAAAAAAAACATTCTTTTTCAAAAAAGAACATTGCTGCTTCAAAATTCACACTCACACTTATTTAACACAGGTTTACAAAAAAAAAAAAACACATTATAGGCTACTCTTATACTCTGAACTCTTAATTTATTGATGACTACTAGCTTTTCCTGTCTTCATACTCATAAGAGCTGATACAAGTCAAATTTATTTATATAGCGCTTTAATACAGATTGTATCAAAGCAGCTTCACAGTTATAACATGAAAGTAGTACAACACAGATCAATATATTGTTAAATATTAAATATTAAATAACCCCAACTAAGCATGCCAAAAGCAAGGCAACAGTGGCAAGGAACCAAAACTCCATCAGATTGGATGGAGAAAAAAAAACCTTGGGAGAACCCAGGCTCAGTCAGGGGCCAGTTCTCCTCTGGCTTACATTCATATTGTTTATATATAAATATTAAATAATTAAATATTGTTTATGTATAAAACGGCGCCATAACATATCGCAGGCGTTGAGTCGTCTCTTCACAGGCGTTGGTCTTCTCATCACAGGCGTTGGGGCATCCGAAATCCCCGTGAAAGGCTGGATACAAAACTGGACCTGACGAACGCCATTTTTCTCGGGACAAGCGTCCTGAGATAACAGCAGAAAGGCAGATGGAAAATAATTAGCATAGCTGGTGTTCATAATGATTTCCATTATACGGGAGTCGGTGTTAGAAAACCACTCTCTCACAAACTCTCCGCAACCCAACCATACGCGCCGACCCGTTTGTCTAAAAGGCTGTCGAGCCCCACTGGTGCGTTAAGCAGTTTCAGTGGCAAACGGCTCCGTATGGCATAACAGAGGACTAAAAGGTAAGCATTACTTGAATGCTTGACTAAAGAGATGCGTCTTTAATCTAGTTTTAAACTGTGTCAGCGAGTCAGAGCCTCGGACCGTATCGGGAAGGCTATTCCAGAGTTTTGGAGCTAAATGCGAGAACGCCCTCCCTCCTTTACTGGACTTAGATATGCTAGGAATGACCAGAAGCCTTGAATTTAGTGATCTTAAGGAACGCGGTGGATTGTAGGGCGAAAGAAGGTCCGTTAAGTACATAGGAGCTAAACCATTTAGGGCTTTATAGGTCAGTAGTAGTATTTTGTAGTTGATACGGAACTTAATAGGTAACCAGTGTAGAGATGATACAATCGGTGTTATATGATCATATTTTCTTGACCTAGTAAGAACTCTAGCAGCTGCATTTTGTATTAACTGTAGCTTGTTTATTGAGGATGCAGGACAACCGGCTAATATCATTACAGTAATCTAGTCTCGAGGTCATGAATGCGTGAACTAATTTTTCTGCATCAGAAATAGATAGCATGTTACGTAGCTTAGCAATGTTTAGGTGGAAAAAGGCTGTTCTTGTAACATATGAAATATGATTTTCGAAAAGACAAGTTGCGGTCTAGTATAACACCCAGGTCTTTTACTGTAGTGGATAAAGTAACAGGACATCCGTCTATATTAAAGTTGTATTGTAAGAGGTTTTGTGAGTAGTTTTTTGGACCAATAAGTAATACTTCCAGAGTGATACAGAGTCACTACATACTAAATTGTATATTATTGTTCTATCCACTCTAATGCAATACCTATAGCACATAATTCAAATATACATTGGGGATGTAGGCTATACCACAGATCCTGTTGCTGATTGAAGGTCCTTTGACCCATCTGTAAAAATCTGAATACTGTCTTTACGTTTGTTCTTATATACAACCGCACTCTAAACACAAATATGAACAAAGTTACATAAACGAGAAACAACAAGGACTTACAGAACAGAGGGAAGTTAAATAAAGATACAAATGGACACCAGCGAAGTTAGGACAGGTGACACAGATGATGAATTCTCAGGCAGAGAATGTCTAATTGGCTTTATGCCCTGCTTCACTACTTCCTGAACTTCAGCCAGCTCCTTGTTTCCTGTCTGCCATTATTGGCCAAATTGATTAATTAAAGTGTGTCTAATTATTGTTGCCATGACTACTGAGGTCAGGTACACCTGAATTAATCAATTTGGCCAATAATAGCAGACAGGAAACAAGGAGCTGGCTGAAGTTCAGGAAGTAGTGCAGCTGGGCATAAAGCCCATTGAAGAGAATTGGCACTGGCTGGTTACTTCCGGGTTCTGGACTAGCTGCAGTTACACGTCTCTGTCCATGCGGGGGCGCTCGCGGTCGAGTGCAGAATGAATGGGAGTCAATGGGGTTTCACCCCATTTCTCCACTTTTCTCAGGATGTAATTTTTTGTCAAGTAATTTGAAAGTTGCATTCAAAAGGGAGGGCTGAGAAAATACACTCAGCTGAAAATTGCATTTTTAAGTTCACTTATCTGTTCTAAAAATCCGTTCAGAAATGTGATAACGTCACACAATAGCAGAATGCTAGCGTGTTCCGGCCAACAACAACAGCCTAACCTGTAAGAAATCAAAAGGACATAAGTACTCGTTCATTCGACTTTTGGCCTATAATCTATATTGAACTTGCGTAATCAACAATAAAATCTATGTTAATTTAACGACAAGCAGGTGAAAGAGACACTTTTAGCCGTTTAGCCCCATAGACTCCCATTCATTCTGCTCTCGCCCGCGATCACCTCCAGTGGAATTCTAATGGAACTGCAACCAGCATGATACACAACGGGTCTAATAGGAAGTGCCAAGGCTCTCCGTTAGACGGGCTCTGGTTCAGGTGTGGAGACACGAGGGATTCTGGGAAGTGTAGTGAAGACGAAGACAGGATGGTGCAGACGTTGACTGTGACACATTGGTTCTCACATGTCAAGTTAACATGCTTGAGCTACCATTTACCAAAAATGATGTGTGAGTTGATGAATGTTTATATGTGAATAAAACCCAAAATCCAATCTGTTCATTATATAAAGCGATTGGGTCTCTTCAGAAAATTTTAAATAAACCTACCGTTGTGGTAGTTGCTTAGTAGTCAACGGAGGGACAGAAAGGTCGCAGATTTACTCTGAAGATGAATAAAACTCTAAATGTGTTTGGAATGACACGAGTGTGTAATTGATTGATTTTTGGGTGAACTGTCCCTTCAAGGTTATGCATTAGACTAATCAGACAATAATTATTAGATGCAGTTAACAAGTAGAAGATAAACATGGCATACATATGGATATTTTATAAATCTAAACATTATTTTACCCACAATGCCTATATGGATTCAATGGAAATAATACGTTTACGGAATTGTTACATAAGAGCATGTATGGTCAAGTATGGGGTGCATGAAGTAGATGTTGTGGCTTAGTGGTGTCTATGTATTTATAGTTCCTGATAAAGTGTCCAACCCATTTCAATCACCCCATTGCCCTTCCACAGGGGGAGTAATCCAATAAAGAGGAGCACAGGAGTCGCTCCTCCATCTCTCTTTCAAGAACCAAAGACGCACAGCACATCACGGCACAGGACAGGCAAGTTGAGCATCAAGAAAATCTTCTCTTCTCTTCTCTTCTCTTCTCTTCTCTTCTCTTCTCTTCTTATTGTACTATATGTTTTTTGCGATTAATTCCACCCACTTTATCCCATTGCTTTTTTATTTGGATCTAATAAATTTCAACTTTTCAATCTTCACTAAAACTTTTTTTCAGAAAACATCTGACCTTTTCATTATCATTTTCATATACTGTATTTAAAGTAAATTCTTCCAATGCATAAATAGCTGTTTCTCCCTTTTCTTTCTATATGATAATTTCAATGCTTCTGCATGGCAAAATATATTTTAAAAGCTCAAGGTGGTTTATTTATTCAATTAAAACACAGAATAGATGAAATATGTGCTTCAGACTAAGGATTTAAAGTGGAGTAGGCTGCATTTTAAAACTGGCATGATTACTGAAATGTAAAAGGATTTGTGGCATGCCAAGATGAGCCAGTCTGTATTTTCTAATGTATATTATTTTTAATTAATAATCTTCTACGTTTGAGATTTATACCTGAAATAATGCTATAGTACTTTTTATAGTATTTTTTTCCCCCTTGTTGGTATGGGGGTAAATAAATGTGTCAGGCATCTCCACAGCCACCTGTCAGTCCTTCATAGCTATGGCTGAAAGGTTCCACAAACAGAGGCCCTCTTGTCTTTAATTAGCTGCACGTTTCACTGCATCACGCATGGTTTAACCGTAAATGAGTGGGTTGGTTTGGGGCTTCATTGAGGTAATTCACATGACTCATTAAGGTAATTCACATGACTCAAAAGATTCCCCAGCTAAGCTCTTGCGTTAGTCTTATTTAATCCCTGGGTACTGTATGTGCATGTCTATGTCTGTTTGAGACTGAGGGAGATATACCTCTTTACTGATAGTAAGGGACACACTGGGGACAGCTGGAACCACAGAGACTTCTCTTGATCTGGTGCCCAGTGTTGGTGCCAGTAGCCTGCCAGGCCGAGGACAGATCAAAGAATCCATTCAGAAACAACAGTGTGATCTGACAAGTGTTCACAGTGCAGATTTAGCTGACTCCACTGCCTCTCTGTGGGAGACGTACAGAACATTAAGTCTATGAAGTTATAATGAAGGTCACAAACACACCATGTGGCAAAGTGCTATAGCGTTTAGTCAACAGAAGGAAGTTACACTTTATTTTTGTGGTTCCCTGTTGATATAAGCAATGTTGCACCTACATTTCAACTAACTCTCTGTTAGGCATAAGTTTAGGGTTAGTAGAATAAGTTGACATACTTACAAAGTCACTTAGGCCTCGTTTACACTAAATGGTTCAAGTGACCCAAATCCGATTTTTTCCTCTCATGTGGCACAGATAGGACATGACCGGTGGACGTGTAAGCAGGAAAAAAACGCATGGATTCCGATTTTCTCAGATTGGATTCAGGCCTCATTCATATGTGGTAATAAATCGGATATGAATCAGATACGTGCATTTGCGTGTGCCATGTAAGCAGACAAATCGGATATTCCCCAGTAAATGCGAGTCATGCGTCATTAAAAACTGCGCGATTATGGGCGCGAGCCGCGCGATGGAAGAAAGGATACACACAGTGGAGCATTGCGGAGGTTTCATGTCTTTTGAGTGTTTGGGGTGAAGAGTGCAGGCAAAAATGCAGGATTGTTACAGAAATAAATCCGTTTTTGAAGACATTTCACGAGATATGAGGCATTTTTTTAATGGCCAGAGCCTCTCCTCTTTTTTTCTCCGCCGTACGAGACCAATGTTTTGATGACTTATTGAAATATTGTGGAAAGAAAACACTGGATAATTTTATTCGCATCGGCATCCATTGAATTTCGTGCTGTTTTGCTTAATTTCCCGGTTCAGAACCATCAGAACGTCTGCATTTGGTAGTTTCAGCAGTGTAGTGTGAATGCAAAAATCGGATATGGGTCACTTTTAAAAGATGATGTAAGCAGGTCATCAAAAAAATCGGATATAGTCAGAAAATCGGATTTGGGCATCAAGACCTGCAGTGTAAATGCAGCCTTATAGTCAGTAGAATGCCTGTGGGGGGCCGTGTTAGCTGATATTAAAGGGATGGTTGACCCAAGAAATGAAATTTTTGTTATCATTTATTGATCCTCAAGGTGTATGTATATTTTGAAGAATGTCGGTAACCAGACATTTGACGCTAGATAGTATTGACTTTCATAGTATTATTTTCCTTCTATGGTAGTCAATGGCTACCTTCAACTCTAGTTGAACTCATAGTGCACTTTACCAAGTCTACTGAAGTGACTCAGCTAGACAAGCTTTACAGAGACTTTTGTTGTATTAGAATGAGACTCTCTGAGAAAATAAGCCACAGGATTGGTGTGGAGCTCAGAGCGGGTACGCTTTGAGTGCACAATTGCTGGACACATTTCTGAGGGATAACGCAGAAATATTAGCAGAGCTTTTCTGAGGAAGACACAACAGCTGGGACTAATACATTGGCACGCATTCCACTCTTGCTTTAGAAAGTTTGCGTCATATTTAGCCTTTATCAAGAAGAGGTTAAGCACTGGTGTTATAGGCCTAAGTTTCATGCCTAACATGATTCCAAACAATTATCTGAACAGCAACCTTTATGCACCATTTAAAACACTTTTATTATTTAGGAACTGTTTACACCCAAGATGGCGGAGCGCTATGACTGCCACTACTGCAAGGAGTCTCTGTTTGGGAAGAAGTATGTTCTGCGTGATGAAAATCCATACTGTGTGAAGTGCTATGAGAGCCTGTACTCCAACACCTGTGAGGAGTGCAAGAAACCCATTGGCTGCAACAGCAGAGTATGTTGATCTTCATAATATTTAGCATATATAATATTTTACTTATGATGGAAATAATATGATTTAAAATAATATTTAAGTGTGAAGTGAATGTAATTTTTGCAGATATTTAATTCAAATTGTATGAAAATATAATAGTATTTAAATTTAATGCAATCAGCTGACTTTTTTATAGCTATACCTAAGTAGGACTTAAGTACATCTTTATGTAATTTCATAATAACTTATACTGTCTAAAGTTCACCACCAAAAGTACTGACAAGCATTTGTGGTAAACCACTTCAATGTAGTTTCTGATGAAACCTGTATGTCATGTATTTAAATATTTTTGTAATTATTGTAAAGGTGAAGAATAGTACAAATATACTACACTAATAATAATATTGTACATTTAAAATATATTAATTTAAAATGTAATTTCAAATAACACACTACAGGTAAAGATATAATCAAGTAAATGGGCTTTAGTGTTATTTAATGATTTAATGATTTAAACTGTACTTTTTTACATTATTACAAAGTGCACCTTTTAAAAGTATACTTAAGCGTGTTAAAGGGATACTCCACTTTTTTGGGAAATAGGCTCATTTTACAACTCCCTCTAGGTTAAACGTTTGACTTTTACCGTTTTCTAATCCATTCAGCCGATTGTCTGATATTTAGAAGAATATCAGTAACCAGTAACTCATTGACTTCCATAGTAGGAAAAAAAAATACTAAGGAAGTCAATGAGACCAGAGACTGTCTGGTTACTGATATTCTTCTAAATATAAGAAAATCGTCTGGATGGATTCGAAAACGGTAAAACCCAACTGTTTAACTCTGGGGGAGATATAAAATGAGCCTATTTCCAAAAAAGGTGGAGTATACCTTTAAGAAATTCATAAAATTACACTTAAATGGCTTTAATTTTTTTACTACTTTTCTTAATTCCAAGAATTACAGTTCAGTACAGCTCACTATCCAGAACGAGATTTGAGCATTTTTATTTAGTAACACTGTGCACATGATTTAGAGCTCTGTTTGAGCTGAGAGATCACCAGGAGAGCAGTGGAGAATAGTATGAATGCCAACTCATGTACTCTGGACTGATCCCAGTAGGACATCAGTGCTGGAGAGTGAGTCCAAAACCAAACAAAGAGACCAGATGAGCTTTTGTAGAATTACCAGCACTTATTTACCTTGGAGACAGAAACACAGACTCTCTATTGCCATTTCAAAGACAAATTTTATAACCTTTATACAAACTAAATCATAAATACTAAAGATAAAATGCATGTCATTTCAATATAATAATATATTTAACCATGTTTCTTGTAAGAAAAAAAAAAAGGAAGAAGAAATAGGAATAAATATAGATGTGTGGTGCTCTCTCTACAGGCTTTCTGTCGTTAGTGTCACGTCATGGTCATTAGTCCTGATGAGGAGGTTGTCACTTGTTTTGAGGACAGGCCTGGGGTGGGACCACATCTGTGTGGCGTGTCCTTGGCCCAGTTTGCTATCCCGCTACCCCCTCTAGAAGCAGCCAATCAGCATGACCTCATAACACCTTGGGCCAACGATTTAACGAGCACAAACACTCTCTCCAAATTGGTGGATAATTAAAGCAGTGGTGTCATACATGCATCCTGGGGCGATGTGCGCTCACAGCCCAGGACAGACTCTCACTAACGCACACCTATTGGCAGATCACACTGCGATTGGTCGCAGATGCCAGCACCTGCGGCTCTCATTGGAGAGTGACCCGCTGTGAAGCTGACATTGAGGAACCCTTTACCCTCCCTCTCTCCCTAATTATCAGTTCAAAGGCTGAAAAAGTCCACCGAGGCCAAATACATTCTCCCTTAACCCTAAGTTTAATGCATCGGAGACAATGGGGGTTCAAATCATCCTTGCTTGCTTGCTTTTGTCCTCAGGATCTGTCTTATAAGGACCGTCACTGGCATGATGACTGCTTCCACTGCTTCAAATGCCAGCGTTCTCTGGTGGACAAGCCGTTCTCCACCAAGGACGAACAATTACTGTGTATTGACTGTTATTCCAATGAGTATTCCTCTAAATGTTATGAGTGCAAGAAGACAATCATGCCAGGTAAGTGAAACATTAGCTTGCTTGTAATGCTCCTCACACATGTTCTTAGTCCTTTAGAAATCAAGATTCATCACAATGAAGCATTTGACAGTATCTTTTGACATTATTAACTGTGCGAAATCGTCATATAACTGACGTTTTGGGACGTCTTTTGACCATACGTCAATATTCGCCTTTTTAGGGCCCCCTTAAACGTCGGTAGATGAGGTTATGGGATCCTAACTCTACCCCATACCTAAACTTAACCCTAAACCTAACCCGTCACCTAACTGACGTTAAAGGTAAAGCGTCAGTTGTATGACGGCCCGGGATCGCCATCTACCGACGTTTAAGGGGGCCCTAAAAAGGCGGATATTGACGTATGGTCAAAATACGTCCCAAAACGTCAGTTATATGACGATTTGGGATGAGACTGTGTTAGTGCGACATATGAGTCAATTTGCGATAGTTGACCCAAAAATGAAAATTCTGTTATCAATTACTCTGTCATGTTCAAAACACAAATGGTGATATTTTTAATGATACCTCAGGGATTTCTGTTCCTCCTTTGAAAGTCAGTTCCACAAGACATTGATGCTTCAAAAAGTTCATAAAGACATTGACAAATTAATCCATATTCCAGAGCGATTTAAATCTTCTGTAAAGACACGATTGGTTTATGACCAGATCAAACACTAAACATTGATCAACACATACAACGAGTACATCAAATATGGTGAACGGATGCTCAACCGTTGTGCTTGATGCGCCAAAACAAACCTGGGTAACACTTTATTTTGATAGTCCACTTTAGACATTCAACTTACTATTAGTAACTTTGCCGCTACATGTCAACTAACTATCATTAGAGTATTAGTAGACTGTTAGCTTAATATCTGCTAACACTTTATTTTGTTGGTCCCCCAACAGACATTCAACTGACTGTAAGTAACTTAGCAACTACAAGTCAACTTGTTCTCCTAACCTGAACCCTAAGACCTAACCCTAACCTAACAGTCTACTGACAGTCTACTAGCCTACTAATACTCCAATGACACTTAGTTGACATGTAGTTGAAAAGTTACTTATAGTTAGTAGAATGTCTAAAGTGACTATCGAAATAAAGTGTAACCCAAACGTGACTGGTTATTGCGGAAGAACAAATCTGTTTGCATTACACACAAGAACAAATGTCTTTATCAACTCTTTTAAGGGTCAATGGAATGGACTTTCAATGGAAGAACAGAAATTTCTCAGGTTTCATTTAAAATGTCTTCAATGTGTTTCAAAAATAAACGAAAGTCTTATGGGTTTGGAATGACATGAGGGTGATGGTGCATTCCAGGCAAGTTGGAAAGATCATACTGTACTTACGATTTGAACGCATGAACATTAATACAAAGTCGTATCTACCCTTGGTATCTGAGTTAAGGGCCTGTCAGTAAGAAAGCATGTCGGACGCAATGGATGAATCATTTGTATTAATAGTACATTTTATACAATATGAAGAGTTCAGATGCAAAAGCCTCTAAGTGCCATTTGAAATTTTCTTCTAGAATGATCATTTTTTATCAAGCTTGTATATGAAGAGTTCAGATGCAAAAGCCTCTAAATGCCATTTGAAATGTTCTTCTTTAATGATGATTTTTTATCAAACTTGTATATTTAAGTTCAGTAATTTCACTTAAATGGCAATGATAATTACCTATTAATTGTTATTTAAGTGAAATTACTGAACTTAAATATACAAGTTTGATAAAAAATCATCATTAAAGAAGAAAATTTCAAATGGCATTCAGAGGCTTTTGCATCTGAACTCTTCATATGTTTTTGTTGTTGTTGTTGTTGTTGCATGTACAAAATACCATTCTATTGTTCAATCTACAGCATCTTTATAAATTAAATAAAACCCAAAAAAAAAAAAAAAAAAAAAAAACCCAAAAAACACTAACTTTTGAAACACAAACAAACTTTATTTATCATTTTGTAGATGTAGAGTTAAAAAAAATCTTAATTTTGACGTCCCAAACCATAAATACTACTCAGCAAATTTAGGTTCTGAGAACGTTCTGGGAACTTTAGTTTTTGGTCCCAGAACGTTCCTAGAAATTTCCCTTTCCCCCCCCCAAAAAAAAAAAAAAAATAAAAAAATAAAATAAAAAAAAACACATGGGACCATTCGGGATTGTTAGGAGAACGTTCTGTGTTTGCTGGCTCTTTAATTGATTTAATTGATTTACTTTAATGACCACACAGCCAGGCTGGTGGAATTTGTTTTCAGTACAGCTCATTTCTTAGGTGCAGGTTCCAGAAAATACATTAACAATGAACATTAAACATATATAATACAATACCATACATATACATACAGACAAAACACAAAACATACACAGGCATAAGGGGTAACGGGTCACGCTTAATCCAGTCCTCAGCGTTCAGAGTTCAGAATGTTGATTGCTTTCGGAAAGAAGCTGTTTTTAAAACGAGTTGTCTTAGCAGCGATCGTCCTATAACGCCTCCCAGAGGGCAGTAACTGGAAGACGTTGTGTGCAGGGTGAGAGGTATCAGCAGTTATCTTGTGAGCTCTACGTAATGTCCGTTTGTGGTAGAGTGCTTCGATGGATTGCAGTGATGAACCGATGACTTTAGATGCTCTGTTGATGATACGCTGTAGTTTCTTCCGAGAAAGTGAGACTGTGATGGATGTGGTGAGGATGCTTTCGACGATGGCCATGTAGAAGCGAAGCAGAAGATGAGACCTTACTCTGAACTTCTTGAGCTGTCGGAGATGAAAAAGTCTTTGCTGGGCTTTATTGTGGATATGATCTGTGTTGATTTTCCATTTAAGGTTATTGCTAATGTGTATTCCAAGAAGTTTGAATTGATCAGTGATGGAGATGGGTTCACCTTCAATGAGCACAGGAGTTTTGGGGGATGGTTGACGTCTCAGGTCGACGATGAGTTCTTTTGTTTTTGATGTGTTGAGTAGAAGATCATGGTCTGTACACCAGGTCACTGCTTGATTGATCTGTGCACGATATACAGTTTCTTGGTTGTTGGCAATGAGTCCTATAATGGTTGTATCATCCGCATATTTGTATAGGCTGACAGAACCGTGGTGTGATGTGAGCTTATTTGTGTAAATGATTTTCATTTTTGGGTGAACTAAACATTTAAAGGGTTAGTTTACCCAAACATGATTATTCTGTGATTAATTACGCACCCTCATGTCGTTCCAAACCTGCAAGACTTAAATTCATCTTCGGAACATAAATATGGACTTTTGATGAAATCTGACATCTTTCTGTCCCCCCATTGACAGCTATGCAACTACCACTTTGACGCTAGAAAAAGGTGCGAGAGCCAATGAGGTTCATTCTCACGCGTTACAACACGTTTGAGCTTCCGCAAGAACCAATGAGGTTTATTCTTTCGCACCAATCAGGTTAAGTTAAGCTTCTGTTTATGTTCGCTGAGTGTGAATATAGCCTAAATTCAACCTGTTCATCATATAAAGCGATTGAGTCTCTGGTAGTTGCGTAGCTGTCTAAGGAGGGACAGAAAGCTCTCACATTTCATTAAAAAGATCTTAATTTTAGTTCTGAATATCTCACGCGTTTGGAGTGACAATTTTTGGGTGAACTATCCCTTTAATAGGATATAATCCATCCTCACTAATATCCTGCCAAGTCATGGGATATTTGTTTGTTGATCTGCATTTTTCTCTATGTCTCTATGCCATTCAGGCTCCAGGAAGATGGAGCATAAGGGGAACAGCTGGCACGAGACCTGCTTTTCCTGCCAGCGCTGTCAGCAGCCCATTGGAACCAAGAGCTTCATTCCTAAAGACAACAATAACTACTGCGTGCCCTGCTACGAGAAGCAATTCGCACTGCAGTGTGTTCACTGCAAGAAGGTAAGAACAGCTGGAATGCAACATGTGGCTTTGCATATATGTAAAGTGTTGAATGATATCACACCTTTTTTGTATCCTCTCAGCCAATCACCACTGGGGGCGTGACCTACCATGACCAGCCATGGCATAAGGACTGCTTCCTGTGCACAGGCTGTAAGCTGCAGCTGTCCGGCCAACGCTTCACCTCTCGTGATGAATTTGCCTATTGCCTCAACTGCTTCTGCAATCTGTATGCCAAGAAGTGTGCTGCCTGCACCACCCCCATTAGCGGTATGAGCGTTCAACACATTTACATCTCCTTATGTTTGGAAGGTGCTTATCAGAACTGAACACAAGCTTATAAACAGTATAAACAGTATATACACTCTCAGAAAAAAAGGTACAAAAGCTGTCACTAGAGCTGTACCTTTTCAAAAGTACACTTTTGTACCCAAAGGCTGCATATTGGTACCTTAGTGGTACATATTAGCACCTAAAATGTACATATTAACACTTAAAATGTATATATTAGTACCTAAAATATACATATTAGGTTCTAAAATGGACATATTAGCTCCTGAAATGGACATATTAGCACCTAAAATGTACATATCAGCACCTAAAATGTACATATCAGCACCTAAAATGTACATATTAACACCTAAAATGTACATATTAGCATCTAAAATGGACAAAAGTTTACCTTTTGAAAAGGTACAGCCCCAGTGACAGCTTTTGTACCTTTTTTTCTGAGAGTGTATATATATATATATCAGTATAAACAACATATTTGTACTGAAAGTTGCAATAAAACAGAAGTAGTGACAGGTCTTTTCTTATCTATTTTATCATTTGCAAGAAAAAGTATGTGAACCCTTTGCAGAATCTGTGAAAATGTGAATAATTTTAACAAAATCAGAGAGATCATACAAAATACATGTTATTTTTGTATTTAGTACTGTCCAAAATAAGATATTTTACATGATTTTGTACATATAGTCCACAAGACAAACAAATAGCTGAATTTATTAAAATGATCCCGCTCAAAAGTTTAGGGACTATTGATTATAAATACTGTGTCGTAACTTGAATGATCCACAACTGTTATTTTGTCTTATGGATTATATGTACACATTTTTTTTTTTTTTTATGTAAATATCTTATTCAGGAGAGTACTAAATAAAAAAAGTAACATGCATTTAGTCTGATCTCTCTTGATTTGTTATAATTATCAACATTTTCACAGATTCTGCAAGGGGTTCACATACTTTTTCTTGCAACTGTATATCCGAATGAAACGGATTATAGAAAAACAAATTTAGAAAGGGGTGGGGTTTAAGTGGACTAAAGTCCAGCATGTCACCAGAGAGAATTCATTTCACTGGTTTGAATCATGACATTTGAATATAGATAGGGTCAGTTTTCATTTCATGCTGACTTTAATGTACACAAAAATCACCATATTAAAGGAATCGTTCACTCATAAAACTACAGTTCTTTGAAAAAAATATCTTGGCCACTTTTTTAGTAAAAGTGATTCAGGAATGAAGCTCAACTTGACAGAACAGCTCCATATAAGTATATTAAATTAAGTCCATATGAGAAATGTACTATATTACTGGTATTTTAAAGCCATACAATGGTAATTATGTTAGAAACAGACCAAAAATAGATAACTTATATAACTTTTTATGATATTTTTGTTGTGATTTTTGTCATTTGGGAGATTTTGAAAGTCCCTTTTCTAATTCATCTTGATTATATTGGAAAAAAGCATCCATGATATATGTAAAGAACATACATGTTTTGAATGACCTTCCTGTATGAATCTACCAGCAATCTTCTTGTCCACACTTTAGCAAATAAAATCCATATTTCCCATAACATTATTGCTATATGATCATTTTTAAGATTTTTTTTGTACTGTCATATCCTTTGCAGGTCTAGGAGGAAGCAAATACATCTCCTTTGAAGAGAGACAGTGGCACAACGACTGCTTCAACTGCAAGAAGTGCTTGGTGTCTCTGGTGGGCCGTGGCTTCCTGACTGAGAGGGATGAGATCCTGTGTCCTGACTGTGGCAAAGACATTTGATCACACAGCATAGCACTGCAATTCCTAACATTTTATTCTTTCAACAAAGTTAAATAGCAATACAAGCTTTTATCATAGCTAATATATTTGTCTAATAAAAGTTTAAAGGAGCCTGTGTGTGCCAAGGCGTATTATATAATATTGTGTCATGTCTTTATGTTCAGGGTTTAAAATGTTGCCAAACAAGAAACATATGCAGAGTGAAAATTGTCTTTGTTTTAAGATGTAAAGACATAAAGCACATAAGTGTTATTGCCTATATACCTTTTTTTTGTGACTAACATTTGCTTTTCACTCATCAATCAATATTTGTCATTTATAGACTGTAAAGAATTTGCTGTAGCTCATAATAAACTTCTTGAAAAGGCATTAATGAAAGCCTCAGTACTGCTTACAAGAGATCACTACAACAAAAAGTGACTGACATTCAACACATTTACTCTAAATATGCCTCAGCTGTTCTTTCTTATCTTTCAGTGAAACTTAAAACAGAACCCAAAGGTCTTATTCGTCATGCATCTGTCTCTGTAGCTTATTAAAAGTGATGTAAGTTTATTCAAATCTATTCTTACCTAAGGTTCCATTTATTATACAATGGAAAATATTGCATCAACATGGACATATAGCATTTTTTTACACGCCTGTGTAAGAAAAAAAACACACAAAAAAAAAACATTGAGCATGTAGTGACACAACACAACAAAAGATAATGCGCATGAATGAATGGATAAATGAAAGAATAGCTTCTGCAGTGAGTAAAGTAAGATCATGGATGTCGTCAGATGTTGGACTACTAAGACATTGGCCTATGGCTCTACCTTGTGGTGAAATATTAAATTACATTTTCATCTGCTAAATGCAGAAATACAATATAACGAATATATAGCCTATATGTGATTTAATTTAAAAGGCCATTAGAACTTCCAGAGGGAGGCCATAACTCGAAAAGTGCGATCTTTGGGGTTTCAGGACCACAAACGTGTCAGTCTATTGTTAAAACTAACATTCTAACCAGCGCCACAAATCAGGCATAATTAGCTAATAATAATAATAATAATAATAAAACCTTTTCAACGACATTAGTGCAAAAATTAAACAGTAACACATTTCGCTTTCAGAATTAATTTTTATAAACGCTTTCCAATCAAAAAGCCAGAACCCACCCTCATCACGTGGCCGGATGTATTTCGGCGGAGAAACAGGAAGCGCTTACAGCAGGGAGAGAGAAGGAGAGAGGGAGGTGGAGAGTGAATGAAACTGGCAGGCCGTGAAAACGCTGTCATCTCTCAAGGACCGCACTGGCCAAGGCTGGGGTACGATATGCACTCGGCTTTCTTTCACATCACCTGTAGCGTCACCTCCGCTGTCTGCATGCCGCAACACACAGACACACACACACACACACGACCCAACACGCAGGCTGTGTTTTAAAACCTAGCGAGCTGTCTTTCAGCAGCACACGTTTGGAAAACTCCCCCCAATAATGCTGTATAGATAGGCATCTCACTAGGTTTTGAAACACACTCCATGATCACCCGTAAACAAAGCACTGTCTGTCGTTCATATAAATGCTCATATTGGGCTGTTTGAGTGGATGTGAAGCAGGTGCTGTGCTTGAAAGAGGAATCGAGTAAGTGTTTGTGTTGATGAATCTTGTGTTATGTTTTGCCTGCGTGGCCTTTGGCTGGTTGGACAGAAAATGATCTTGTAAATAACTTTCTAATACTGTAATGCCTTATTTGTTTTAAAGGAAACTGATATTACGTTTAAAGCACCTGGGTGTAATACAAACTACTGGTTAATAGTCACCTTTTTGTGCATTACTCTCAGAGCTGTGATTTATACCAATAAGTGACAAAGAAAACATTTTTTCGTTTCTGTTTGTACATGGAGGCTCTCAAAGGTGTAATGTATATTCTCATTATTCGAATTAAGTATATCGTTGTCTACTTAATCTTTTTTAAATTATTTTCATTATTGATTTAATGCCTTCATAATATGCTTAAAGGAGTAGTTCACTTTAAAAAAAAAAAAACTTTTGCTGATAATTTACTCACTCCCATGTCATCCAAGATGTCCATGTCTTTCTTTCTTCTGTCGAAAAGAAATTAAGGTTTTTGATGAAAACATTCCAGGATTTTCTCCATGTAATGGACTTCGATGGGAACCAAACGGTTCAAGGTCCAAATGAGTTTCAGTGCAGCTTCAAAGGGCTGTAAACGACACCAGACGTCAGACGATGAATAAGGGTCTCATCTAGCGAAACGGTCTGTCATTTAAAAAATAAATAAAAAAGTTTAAGTTTTATAAGCACAAATGCTTGCCTTGCTCTGTTCTGTGATGAACGTTCGTGACTCTCCTGTTCAAACTCTTTTTTCGAGTCATAGATAAGACCCTTATTCCTCGTCTGATGTCGTTTAAAGCCCTTTGAAGCTGCACTGAAACTCTCTTTTGGACCTTGAACCGTTTGGTTCCCAATGAAGTCCATTATATGGAGTAAATCCTGTAATGTTTTCATCAAAAACCTTAATTTCTTTTCGACTGAAGAAAGAAAGGCGTGGTCATCGTGGATGACATGGGGGTGAATAAATTATCAGCAAAAGTTTTTTTTTTTTAAAGTGAACTACTTTAATAATATTGCTCATATTTTTTTTTGTCAGTGCAAGTCTAAAGTAACTGAAGATTTTGTTTTTCTCTCTTTTACTGAAGATGTGGAAAAGCTTTAGTTTAGGCTTGTACAGCAATATTATTATATAATTCGGGTAACACTACAATAAGGTTCATTCGCTAACATTACTTAATGGATTAACTAACATGAACTAACAATGAGCAATACATATGTTACAGTATTTATGAGTATTTGTTAATGAAATGACGTTATTTCACAGTGCATTAATTTTAACAAATACATCCTTTGATTTTAATAATGTATTAGTAAATGTTGTAGAAGTATTGTTAATTCTTATGTTAACTAATGAACCTTATTGCAAAGTGTTACCAATATTCCTAATAATATTGCTCAAACTTGTTGCCAGTGTAAGTCTAAACTCAGGTTTTGTTTCCGTTTTCTCTCCCACGGTAGATGTGGGTGGCACCATGAGCGTGAAAGCTTTTGAGCTGGTTCCCGCTGTGGAGCGGGAGCAGGTGATGGGCGAAAAAGTGCGGATAAACATCGAATGCATTGAGTGCTGTGGCCAACATCTGTACCTGGGCACCAACGACTGCTTCATCCATCACTTCATACTAGAGGAGCACACGACAGCCACAGGTAAGCTGGCCTACAAAGCCCAGAAACTCCTCCACAAATACCTGGGCCTGAAGAAGCCAGTAGCAGAACTGAAGGCCGCCTCTGCTTTGGAACGTCTAATCGTCCTCTGTGATTCAACCATCACTGTTGTGGACATGGTTACTCTGGAGCTTGTCCCCTTTGGTGGCACTAAGCTCAAAGGTGTGACTGCGTTTTGTATCAACGAAAATCCGGTCACAGGGGATGCGTTCTGTGTGGAAATGGCGGTGGTTTTGGCACGCAGAAGGGCAGTCCAGATATGTATGGTCCATGAGGACAGAGTGCACATGTTAAAGGAAGTGACCACTCCAGAACAGCCTTGTGCCCTGAGCCTGGATGGGTACAATATCTGTCTTGCCTTGTCCACACAGTATATGATTCTGAACTACAGCACAGGAGCCTCTCAGGATCTGTTCCCTTATGATTGTGAAGAAAGGAAACCCATTGTTAAGAGGATCGGCCGGGAAGAGTTTCTTTTGGCGGGCCCAGGCGGGCTTGGTGAGTTACATGATCAACACAACACTGATCAGTACTAGGGCTGATTAATCGTGATTAATTGCATCCAAAATAAAAGTTTGTGTTTACATAATATGTGTGGGGGCACTGTGTATAATTATTTTATATATATAAATACACACACATGCTTGTATATATTAAAGAAATATTTTCATGTATATAGATTTATATATAATTTATATAATATATAAATATAAACATTTTATATATATAAAAAAAAAAAAAAATTCTTAACCCTCAGGTGCTCTTCGAGTCACACTTGTTATCTTCTCAGTCAAAAGTGACCGGACACCTAAAAATGAAACTTTCTCCATCCTAGTAAAACCAATGTAATTCATTTTTGTTCTATAATATTTATTGTTTTTAATTTAGTATTTTGAGACAATTTAATTGAATTTATTAATATTTATGCAATATTTATGGTTTATTTTTGCCATGGAAATATATATTTTTCTATATATGTATTATTTTTTCAAAAAAATATTAATGCAGTATTTTAGTTTAATATAGAGTCTAGGCCTTCAGAAAAAAAAATATTTGTTGAAGAAAATTAGCACCATCTGGTTACAGTATAGAGAAAAAGCGTAGAATCATGGTGTAACCACTAGATGGCATGTACAACTCTCTATGGAGAGGCATGTGAATTCCCCAGCTGTTTATGAACACTTTTTTGTTGTTGGATTTGAATATATAGTTGAAACAATCTCAAAAACTATTTTTTATAAAAAAATTGACAAAAAACAAAAATTCACACTTTTTTTTTTTTTTTGCATTTTTTTTACAATTTCCCATTCATTTCCTATGGGGGTCACTTTTGACCAAAGACCACAAGTGTGACTATTTTTTTAAGACCACTTAGCATGCTCAGATCATGACCTCAATTTTTTGTGTGTTCGCATACATAATGCCATAAAAGTCACCAAGTTTCGTAACATTACGATGAAGCTGTGATTTTTAAAAATTCAAAACATACTTTTTGTAATCAAAATTTATTGGTGTCTATGTGTATAAAAGTGTGTTTGTAAGTGTGTGTGTGTGTGTTGGTGGGTGTGTCTGTTTTGCACTCTAGATGTTGTAGAGTGTCACCCCTTTCCTGCGGTGTACTTTTTTTTAGAATTGTGGCCGATTTGTAGATTGTACATACAAAAATTCAGAGAATTTATTTATTTTTTGTCAATTTCCCATTCATTTCCTATGGGTCGGTCATTTTTGACAGAAGAACAAAAGTGTGACTCATTTTTTTACGACCACTTAAATTGCTCGAATCATGACCTCAATTTTTTTTTGTGTGTGTTCACATACCCAATGCCATAAAAGTCACCAAGTTTCGTAATTTTCTGATGAAGCTGTGATTTTTAAAATTTCAAAACAGAAAATTTTTCGGTCAGAAATGACAGAAGAGCACCTGAGGGTTAAATATACATGCATATGTATGTATTTATATATATATATATATATATATATATACAAAATAATTATACACAGTGCACCCACATATATAATGTAAACAAACTTTTATTTTAGATGCGATTAATCGCGATTAATCGTTTGACAGCCCTAAACACGTGTTTTTTTTCCACCAGTTTTATTCCATTTCATTAAAAACTAGCATCAGCATTAGGTTCTTTTCCCTATTGAAGCATTTTAGTCATCAGTGACATTGAGGATCTACACTTAATTTGGAGGATTTGAATCAGATCTGTGCTGAATTTTTAGAAGTGATTTTTTTTTTTTTTTGCACTGATTTTCTTTCTTTGCCGTCATGAGTTTAATGCTTCAGGAGATGGTAATATACATTTTAAATGTCTATAGAAAATCTAAATAGTATTACTTAACTATTACTCTTTCTATAATTTGTTGAATGAGAAATTTATTGATTTTGCTACCAATAGATTGCTGCAGTGATGGATGTTTTTCTAGAAGAACCCAGGATTTAGCATCACTTTCGTTTCCTCAACAAAAACCCCAATTTTTTTTTTTCCATTTGACTTTAAAAAAGAAAAAAAAAAAAAAACAAGCTGGTGGTGGTTGGTTACTGTATGATGATTAAAGTCATGAAATGAACGTAAACTGCTAAATGTTACATTTTCTAATACATTTATTTCATGTAATTATATAAATGTATAGACCTTATGTACCAGAGAAACATGGGCGCCGTCATCTTTAGAATATTGAGATGATCAGAATGATGGACCCCTCGTTTCCTGGTTTTGGTCTACATAAATATGTCATCCCTGCAGCACTCAATATAAGACAAGAGATGATAATCACTTTTTTTGTAAACCTAAATGTTTTGTAGGAAAGTATCATAAATTGTTTTCTATGGCCAATGTGTGTTATTTTTTTTTTGGTTTGTGCTTTTTTTTTATAAGTTCAGCCACAGCCCACCTGAGAAGAAAGATGAAGCTTTCTTCTCTGCTGTGGCTGTACTGTATGATGGTAATCATTTGTGATGAGTCATGCATCTCTCTGTACCTTTGTCTCTCAGGGATGTTTGCTAATGCAGAAGGCATATCTCAGCGTGCTCCGGTGAGCTGGTCCGAGAGCGTGATGGCGGCGGCTGTGTGTTTTCCGTATGTGGTCGCGCTGGATGAAAGCTTTGTGACCGTTCACAGCATGTTGGACCAGCAGCTCAAACAGACACTGTCATTCAGAGATGGACACCTTCTGCAGGATTTTGAAGGTATTCCCATACATTTTAGCATTATTTCACCCTTAGGGTAGGTTCACGCAGACCACATTTTTGCTGGTAAAAACACGTGACCTGGGTCAGTGGAATGAAACAATTTTTTACAATTCTTTTACATGTGCCAGACACTGCAAAAGATGTGAGCTCAAACGGTTAAAGACGTCCATCTAGCGTTATGAAGTTACATTACATTACGTTAGACATTACATTGAAAACTATGCAAAAAGTAGTGTAGTGCCATGAAATTGAAAAAGTGGCGCCTTACTCTGTATTCACGGTTAAAGAAGAACGTTTGGAATATTACAGCAATAGTTTGACATAAATAAAAATTGTCATCATTTACTCTCCCTCAAGTTGTTCCAAAACTATATGAAGGCCTTCTGCTAAAAAAAAAAGAAAAAGAAAAGAAAAAAGAAAAGGAAGAATATGGGTAACCATTATTATTTTTTATAATAGTGGTTTATTTATCATACTTTTTTTTTTATCTAAAATAAGGCGATGTCAGCAATATGGAGCGCATTTTTTTATGTAATTAATTTATGTTTCATTTATACTGGAAGCAAGAGGGCACCCTAATAGGAAACCCTTATATGGGCATCAGATACTAAATGACTAACATGCAGATAGACAGACGTTTTGAAAACTGAAGACAATAAACTCGATTGTAGTGGTCTGTGTTCAAGCCATCTCAGGTATTGCAACGCTAAGGCACTCTTAACATCATCGGACCACTGAAGCAAGTTTTCTCAAAGACGACTGTGTATATATAGTGATTTTGGAGCAAAACATTATATTAATCTCGTACATTTTTGTGTTTGACTCTATGCTAAGCAAACATATTAGCTAACGTTAACCCTGTTGCTAAGAGCGATTGTTTCATTACTAATTTTTAAAGGTCCACGTAAGATCATTTTAATGTTTTTTTTTAAAAGGTCAAAAACACAGAAGGGTGACATGTCTGATCAAAGAATTGAGGGATTCAAACAGTATGAATAAAAAAGTGAAGTGGGGTATTTCTGTAGAAACAGTAAAGAAGCATCTGAAAAATCTATATAAAAAAGATCTCCAGTGTCTTAGTTGGTATTCCTTTAGATTGCTTGTCTAGTGTTTACAAGTATTGATTTCTCTGAAGTGTTGAGGTAAATTTCCCTACAGCAGCAGGGAAATCTTCTCCTGTCAAGTCTTCCTAAAGCTTGATAGTGCTTGAATCGGTAGGGCGAAAACCAGACACATTCGCATTTGATAAAGCAAGCAGTGCAGAGAATGTAGTGAAGGCAATTTATTTAGAGCATCTGATATAATGTGTTATGACAAGCTTAGATCAGGTCAGTCACCATACATCCCATGTCGAAAAACTCATTATTGTGCTGATCACAAGCTTGATTTATTTTTCAGCGGTTTAATCTCCATCGGTCCTTACATTCTCGTGTCTTATGAGCGTGCTGTTCTTTATGCCAGAGTATTTATTTCCATGGATGTGAAATTGGTGTTTTATACAAACACTCGTTATCCATTTTACATTCCTCAATGTTCACCATGATTGCATTGCAACTCTGTGGAATTAAAGGGATAATTCACCCAAAATTGAAAATTACCCCATGATTTAGTCAACCTCAAGACATCTTGGTGTATATGGCATTCTTCCTCCCAGACGAATACAATCAGGCTCTTCCAAGCTTTATAATGCCAGTGAATGGCCGTTTTGAAGTCAATCACAGTACATCCACCCATGATAAAAGTGCTCCACACGGCTCCAGGGGGTTAATAAAGGCCTTCTGAAGTGAAGTGATGCATTCGTGTAAGAAAAATATCCATATTTAAAACTTTATCAACTAAAATAGGTAGAGTAGCTTCCGGAAGACGGCCTACGCAAGTCGACTTAAGCCTAGTTCACAGTCACACTACGTGATTTTAAGCCCGATTTAAGCCCGATTTGCAAATCGTTGAGTCGCCGACAAGTCAGGGTGTTATCGCGTGCAAATCGCGGGCGAATCCGTTAGTGTGAAAGAGCCAACAACGCACCAAAGACAGCTCGCAGACACCTCGCAGACAGGTCACCGAGCTCAGAAAAATATCTAGCATGCTAGATATCTCGAGCAGTCGCGCGACTCAATCTCAGTGATGTCATGAGTACAGCCAATCATAGCAACGCATGGGTTGAGGACACCAGGTAAATCTTTCTTTTTTGCATTTTTTTTCTCAGAGCAGATCGTCGAGCAAACAGTGTGCAGCACTAGTTTCTGTCTGACGTCCATATTCGCGTGTTGTGTTCTTCTCTGCAGTTTCACGTCATTTCTGGTTCGTTTTATTGCGTGGTTTTTCGTTACAAAACATGGTTTCTAGACCAGATAGAATCGTGTTGTTGTCAACTCGTTATTTGTTTGATTATTTTCAGGATTTAGACCGTACTATAGTACTGTAACAGCTCTCATTGAGTCACAAATGATATGCTCTGCTTATCATCCGATCGTGGTTGTATCTCTATGTAGTGCGTTGTTAACTCGTGTAGTGAGTTACCTGTTGTGGATCAATCACGTTGTGTTGTGTGGTGTGAACAGCTAAACAACTTGAACACTCATGATTTCACTGAGAGCAAGTCATGTAGTGTGAACTGCACAGTTCAGCCCGACATTTTAAAATCATGTAGTGTGAACTAGGCTTTACGCCAAAAGAGTAACACTCGACGTGATGTTAGACGTAGGATGTGCGAGTAGCGTAAGCTTTGACGCCTCTCGCGGTTCAGACGAACAGGGCTGGGCAACGAACTCAAGCTCCTCCCACATTTCTCTTTAAAAATGTAAGTTTTAGACTTCTAATTTGTGAATGGTGTTTTGCTGTATCATCTGTACTCCCGCGTTTGTCATTACATCGTGCGATGTACGGTCTGCTGGAAGCTAGTTATTTTAGTCGAAGTTTTAATTATGGATATTTTTCTTACACAAACGCATCACTTTGCTTCAGAAAGCCTTTATTAACCCCTGGAGCTGTATGGAGCACTTTTATCATGGATGGATGCACTTTTATGGACTTCAAAACTGAAACGGCCATTTACTGCTATTATAAAGCTTGGACATTTTTTTTTTAAATATAACTCTCTGATTGTATTTGTCTGAAAGAAGAATGTTATATACACCTAGGATGGCTTGAGGGTGAATAAATCATGGGCTAATTTTCATTTTTGGGTGAACTATCCCTTTAAAAATCATTTACAGCGTTCAAGTAATGTGGAGTTCAAAGAGCAGAACACACAATGTATGTCTTTTTGTCAAGTTTATAAAAAGCCTCTAATTTCTCAGGTAAGGTGGTGTTGGCCTCATCAAAAGCGGTGTATATGCTGGTGCCTCTCCCTCTGGAGCGTCAGATCCAAGACCTGTTGGCAAGCCATCGAGTCGAGGAAGCCCTGACCCTCACCGAGGCCGCACAGAGAAACATTCCCAAAGAGAAATATCAGGTACGCCGAGCCATTCTGACTATGGTTAGATACAAGAGTATTTCTATCAATGGAGAAAGGATTTTAATTGTTAATTTTCTCTTTTTATGTTGTAGATATTGCACAAAAGAATTCTCCAACAAGCAGGATTCATTCAATTCGGCCAGCTTCAGTTTTTAGAAGCGAAAGAGCATTTTAGGTGAAGTACATCATTTTGTCATGCAATTAATACTGTTAATTGCTGCTCAGGCCCAGATGTTTCAGAGGATGACTGAATGGAGTTAATTAACTTCTTTGCTAATTGCTTCTTATCCCTCTGCGCACCTGACCCTAATCGCTGTATGCTAATGGATGGAGAACCGAAACTTGTCTAATAGCTGAATAAATGGCTGACGTAAATATCACTGGATTTACCATGTTGAATTCGGCGTGTATTTTAATTTGCTGCATCTGTCATACGGCATGCCATGAACTATTAACCCATTTGAATCACAGATTGCAAGTACTACTGTAATATTTCAAATGACAAGGTACATCTGGAATAATTTGCCATGTAAAAACATAGCCGTATCTTTTAAACCTTATCCTCAAAAATTGAGCTAATGGAGTGTTATTTAACTATAATTTATAGTATTTATTAACATTTTTAATTAGCATTTAAATTTTAAGTTTTAGTCATTTTGTTATGTGCTTTTGTGAATTTCATTTTTAGTTGTAGTCAGTTATGGAAACTTGTTTCTGCCACAGAATTAAAAAAAAAAAATGTAAAAGATAATTGTAACTCTTTCCTTTCAAATTTCTGTCTTTTTTGCTCATAATTGCAGCAAATCCCCCAAAAGTTTCTCAGAATTGTGAGATATAAACTTGCAATTGTGACTTTATTGCTCGCAATTATGAGGTTATATTTCTCAATTCTAACTTTCTCGCAGTTACATATTTATATTTCGCAATTCTGACCTTTTTTCTCACAATTAAGAGTTTATACCTCTCAATTTTGACTTATTTTCTTTGAATTGTGAGAAATATAAGAGTTATACTTACCTTTTTTTTATTTTTTATTCTATGGTGGAAACAAGCTTCCATGCATTCAAACTTTTATAATTTTTGTATTAAGTGTTTCATCTAATATATATATTTTTTTATTTTAATTAACAAAACAGTTTTAATACTTTTAGTTTTAATTAACAGTAACAATACTTCCACTAATGTGACTGGAATTTTTTTATTTATTTTTTTTTAAATACAGCAAAATAAACTTTGAATAAAATAAAAAAACCTTGTAATAATAATAATGTTGCTTTATCTGATGCCCATCTCAGGAAGGGACAGCTGGATGTACGGGAGCTGATCTCTCTATATCCGCTGCTCCTGCCCGCCTCTTCTTCTTTCACACGTTGCCATCCACCACTTCATGAATTTGCTGACCTGAACCACCTGACCCAGGGGGACCAAGAGAAGGTACAGCACTTCAAACGTTTCCTCATCAGCTACCTACACGAGGTGCGCAGCAGCGACAGCGCTAATGGTTTCCGTGAAGACGTAGATACGGCGTTGCTAAAGCTGTACGCAGAGACCGGCCACGAGAGTCTTCTGGATTTGCTGGCTTCTGATAATGCCTGTCTTCTGGCAGACAGCGCCCCCTGGCTGGAGAAGCATCACAAGTGGGTACTCGCTTTTGTATTTCTTTGAGTAGCCGTCGATGAAGTTTTGACGGTTTATTTTTGCAAGAAAGTGCAAAAGATGATGCTTTGCGAAGCTTCACGTTTTGTAGTATTTGGTTGTTGTCCTATAAAACATTATGATGCATTAATCGTCTATGCCCTCTGTCCTTTTATTCACAGCAGTTGTCATGGCAGTACATTACATTAAACTTAAATTAATGACTGTTTAATTTATGTGTGTGTGATTTGACTGCTAATGGTGTTTCTCTCTGTTCAGGTATTATGCTCTTGGACTTCTATATCACTACAATGATCAGGATTCTGCTGCTTTACAGGTGCGATCTAATTGAACATTCTGATTGTGTTGACGAGCTAGGAAATGTTTGCTGCCACTGCCAGTTTTAAAAGCGTTTTCTGAATTAAAATGCAATTTAAGCTCTGCTGACATCATTTGGCATTCTGTTGATTACCAGAGAAAAATATTTTGATTCATCCTGCATATAATAATAATAATAATAATATATATTTATTTCAGTGATGAAAAAGCTGAATTTTCAGCATCATTACTCCAGTCTTCAGTGTCTGATGCTTCAGAGAGCATTCTAAAATGCTGATTTGGTGCTTAAGAAACATTTCTTTTATCAAGCATGTGTTATTATCAATGTTGAAAATGGTTGTGCTGCTAAATATTTTTGCGTCGTACTAAAAGGTTCCAAGAAAGGTAAGGAACTGTTAAGGTTATATTTCTACTTGAGCTCTGTTCGGCACGGATGAATTACAAAGCGTCCTCAGCCTGGAAATCTCAACTTTGCTATTAGAATGCGTGTTTGTTCACTTGTCTGTTGCATGACTAGTTTCTCTGTAGTCGCCAAGTGTGCTATTTGAGTGAAGTAAACACAAGTTAATAATATAAATATACGATCTTCCTCCATAATGCAGTCGCTATTTGCATCTCATCATACCTTGGCTTGTGTAAACTCTTGCATTACCAAGGCAACGACTGACTCATTTGTATTACATTCCAAAAAGCTTCATTATCAACCCTACTGTGGAAAATGAATTTCCATACTGGCTGGGCCGGACCGGCACGGAATTTAACCGTTAAGCAACGAGATCAGTTTGGACCAATGGTGGATTAGCAGCTACATGATAAATTATTCTTTTAAGTATAGGAAGTTCAAGGATTATTCACCCAAAAATGAAAATTTTGACATAATTTAGGGATGCACGATATATCGGCCAGCATATCGGTATCGGCCGATATATGTTCATTTTTAATGTTATCATTATCGGCCTGGTAAGAAAATGTGGCCGATATATTAAAGCCGATAAATAATGTATTATTCCCTTCAGCTGAGACACTTGTTGAGCTCTGTTTATGTTTTTGAATTTCTTGAAATATGATTGAAATCTCTTCAAAAAATGAAAATTCGGTTCGGTACAACATGTGCTGCGCAAATCTGTCATATCGGCTATACAACACTATAACATGGACATGGATTTAATTGTGAGACTTTTGTTTTTGTAATCAGGCTCTCAAAATTAGATACAATTTTGGATTTAAGTTTATTGGCCGATATATCGGTTATCAGCTTTCAAATATAAAGAATTATCGGTTATCGGTATCGGCCAAAATTTTCATATCGGTGCATCCCTAACATAATTGACTTATCAAGTTGTTCCAAACCAGTATGAAGTAGGTTTTTTTTACATACTATGGAAGTCACTGGGCCCATCAACTGTTCTTCTAAATTCTTCAAAATATCTTCTGTGTTCAGCAGAATAAATAAATTCATACCGGGTTGAAACAAATTTAGGGTGAGTAAATGATAGAATTTTTATTTTTGGGTGAACGATCCCTTTTAAAAGAACAGTATATCTTTTCATTACTTTAATAGATAATTCATACTTGCTGAATACAAGGTATTATTTTTATTATTTTCTTTTTAAATCTTACTGTCTCAACTTTTGAATGGTAGTGTGCAGTGTTGGGAGTAACGCATTACAAAAGTAATACATTACAGTAACATATTACTTTTTGCTGTAACGCAGTAGTGTAAGGCATTACTAATCAATTTTCAGTAATATTTTACTCGTTACATGTTCAGTGAGGCTTGTATTACAGTGTATTGTCTGCTTTTACTTCTTAAAGGCAACAGACTATGTGAAAGTTTTAAAGCAGTCTTTTAGTGCCAGTTCAGAGCGGTCGCGTCTGTAACATTGTTTTTTCCTCATAAATGCGAACACGAAAACTAAAATAAAATGAATATTTTAAGTTCTATGGAGACTGGAGAGCCAACCCTTCCTCATCCGATTTGCGCAGTGTAATTAACAGAATTACAAAAAATATATTTTGCCTCCTATTTTTTTGTCACGCATGAATGTGTGTCTTTTCCCTAATATTAAAAATAAAACATAGACTGATATTTGTCTAATGTCTGGAGTCCTTTAAGGAAGTAGCCTATATACGTTTCAATACATGTATTTTCTGAGAATTTTTATTTCAAGTTTTGACTGCAAATGTCATGTCCATAATGCTGGACTTCCCCAATTTTAAATAATTTATCCTCAACTAGTTTTGTGGTGTAGGTCTACGTATTTTATAATGTTAACTTTAAATAATACTAATAGCCTAGTTTAAAGATAAGGCAGCATTGGATATGGACGGTAAGGAGAATAACGCTGGAGTTGGAAGAGGTGTGTCGCGATTCTGTAGGTTCGTGGATCTGAGTCGTGTGGCGAATCGCGATTTCGGTTTCATATTGCATATCGTTACAGCCCAAAAGTTAAGTTCTACTTAGTTATTTTGGTGAAAGTAACTCAAAAGTAATACATGAGTAATGTAACGCATTACAATTCTGGGACAGTAATATTGTAAGGTAATGAATTACTTTTAAATAACAGTAACAAGTAATACCTAATGTATTACAGTTTGGAAGTAACTTGCACAACACTGGTAGTGTGTGTGTGTGTATATATATATATATATATATATATACAGGTATATATGCAACTTAATAGTGGCAAATAAAATGAACACATTTGCAGAGTTTTAATGATCATTTTTCTTTAATATTATATTTACTGCTATATATACTTTAATATATTTAGTGCTAAATTCATAGACACAATAAAATGTAGACAATGCACTACCCATTTTATAAGGCTTTATTTGTATATTTTCAATCTGACATTGTGCAGAGTAAATTCTTCTGTTAATCAGCTAGTCTGATGCAGATGTTGGCTGAGACTGATATTCTAATGGCCATGTATTGGCAAGTTAATCTTCCTGGGTGATGTATCGGTCTATCCAAGTTAATGGTGCGTTCAGGTCCTCTTGGGAAGTTTACGGCAGGTGCGTTCGTCACTTTTGCAGTAAGAGTAAGATGGCGGTTTACTTTACAGCAAGGTTCTTAAACTCTAGTAGAAAATTAATTCATTTTAGAAAATGAAGACCGGAGAAATGTGCATCTGGTGTACTTTTTGTCATGTTTATTCAGTGTTGGCATGTACAATCTAAAATGGGATCATTGATCCATCGAATAAGGATGCATTTCCTTGCCACAAGTAGTAGTTTATGCTTGTTTATGTTTTTAATTAAGTTATGAAGCCACTGCACACTTTATTATTTATTACATTGTTGTATTATAATGCCATCATACTCTGTGCAGGCAATTAGCTTACTTCACTGTAAGTAGAAATGCACGACAATATCACTGCTAAATAACTTTAAATATTTTGCTGTTACGCAATGTTTCTCACTGACACATCCCCAACTTGAAAAATCCCGGATCTCCCACTCATGTTTATGACATTTTGGTGTCATTTATGCGCTTAAATGCATTCAATCATTATGAGATGACTTTAACGCACCATAAGACTGGTGTGATTAAATTGCTTCCCAATCTTCTCTGTCTAAATGTACAGTAATTACAGTGTTTCAGTTTGTGTCATGACCAGTTAAAAGGAGCAGTAATACATCGGTAGTAAAAAGTTCCGGAGGAACGTGTGTGTGTGTGTGTTTCACTTGCAATATTTATGTTAAGAAAGATGCAGTTTTATTTAAGAACCTTCAAATTGGATGTGCTCTCAGGGAATGGATGATTCAGCGCTTTCTTTTTTTAATTTTTTTTTTTTTTTATCCTGTCCTGTTGTAGATGTGGGTTAAGATTGTCAATGGAGATCTCCAAGACTCAACACGACCAGATCTGTTTGAATATGTTGTGGATTTTCTTAGTTTCTGCTCCAACCTTGACCTTGTGTGGCGGCATGCAGAATGGGCACTACAGAAAGATCAAAAGGTGTGTACTTCATCCTCATTGTAATGAACTATTTTAGGTGAGAGGGAGCTTTATCGGTTCTCTACAGAATATTCTAGAGGGTGTAATTGACTAGCTGTCTCCTTCTTTTGGATCACCTACAGATTGGTGTGCAAATCTTCACCAAAAGGCCTACCTCGGAGGAGAAGATGGGGCAGTTAAACCCAAATGATGTGATTGCGTATTTGGAGAAACACAGTCAGGCCCTTCTGCTTTACCTGGAACACCTGGTGCTAGAGAAGAAATTGCAGGTAATAGCACCGCTGCCACAGCATTATTGATTCTTTAGTCAAGTGCTGTACCTACTATATGCTAAATGGTTGCCCAACACTTTAGAGCTTTTCATGCTAGTTAATCCTGGTTCATTCTAAACCCTGGGTAAACGGAGTCCTGGGTAATCTTCCTTTGTTTCACATTGCTCATAATTTACCTGGGGTTAACAATTAATCCTGGGTATTTATAAAGTGACGTTTCACACTGTACATTCTTAAACTTTGCAGTTAACATCTTTATTTGTGGTGTTAGCGTCACTGATTGGATGAATGCCTGAATGCTTTGTTTACATAAATACTCTAGCATTGCACATCCTTGAATTACAATATATGTTGCCGACCGAAGTATCAAATTTATCCTGAATAGGTTTTTCGGACTATAAAGGTAAGATTCAGTTCAATTGACGTGTCTTTTTATCATCATTTGACATTTTTCCTTTCAAATGCTGAAACTGTTTATACAGTGTGCCGTGTTTCCGTGACTGTCCAAAGCACATGATAATGCGGCACATGATTAGTTGTCTGTTGCTAAGCAACTAGTGTAACATTGTAACTTCGCTGTACTTGTTTGGAACTGCAATGTGTGGTAAAAACGCAATGCTAATCTTGTTTTGGTGTATAGATCGATGATGTTCTGGGGTGAAGCGCAGTATGAAAAAGCTCTTTTGTGTATTGTCTGTTGTACAGAAAGAGAAGTATCACACGCATCTCGCCGTGCTGTATGCCGACAAAGTCCTGGGCTTGATATCACGACCATCAGCCAATGAGGAACAACTGTCTGCTGCCCGCCAGAAACTACAACGGTTATTGAAAGAGTCCAATCTCTGCAGAGTCCAGTTACTACTAGGTAGGTAACCAGTAGCTGGATGCCTGTGCCTCCAATATACACAAGACTTTTGATCCTTTGATTGCAGTTTAATTAATTGTCCCTTTGCGAAAAGGGCACGACAGCAGAGGTTGCATAAAACTCTAGTGATCTTTGGGTTTGCAGATATGTCTTGACTCTTGTTGCATTTGGCCATTATTAAGAATAATAACTTTATTTTCAGGTTTTGTGTTACCAGTAAATGCTTTGCAATAATGCTGCTCTGTGCATTGAGAAAGCACTTTGTTTTTTATTTTGTTTAATTTCAACCTTTACAATTGACCGAGGTTATAGCATTTCACTAGATTTGTAACCTTTGAAACATTAAATCCATTGTCAATTATACACAGAAACTTAAAGGGTCAATGTGTATTTTTTTTTAGGCATTTTATTATCTAAAATCAATATTTTTATTCATAAATATGTCCTCAATGGTGTACAAATACATCTGCCAATTATCTGACTTATCCTCATAAATGAAGAATTTATTATCTTTATATACATGGGACAGGTATTTGTACTGTAAAGCAAAAATAAATTAAAAATAGGCTATAATAATTTGTGTAGTACAAAAATATTACGTTAGAAATATAATATAATATAATAATAGTAATAAATCCATGCTGATTGGGTTCCAAAAACAATGGTGATTGTAAAATGGACTGACACAATGTTGAATTGAATTTAAAAAAAGATGAGTGAAAAGAAATATTTCAATATATTTTCACTATGCAAACTGGTCCTTTTACAAGTGTGAACACCCTTATAGGGTAACTATATGGCAGTAGAGTGTGTGCAAAAGGAATTGTTTTTTTTTTTATTTGTTTTTTTTTTTCTCTCCACACTATTTCAATGTGATTTTAGTTTTTCTATTTTGATTTTGTCTGAAGTGGTGCCATATGAGATTTTTAGTTGAGAACAGTATTTATCATATTGCAAATTGAAATCGCAATATACTGTATGTGTGTGATCTGCTTTTAGGTAAAATCCAGAACTCCGATCTGCTGCTACTTGAGCGAGCTACACTTCACGGAAAGTTAGAAGAACATGACAAGGCTTTGCACATTCTAGTGCACCAGCTGAAAGACTCTCCTGCGGCTGAGGAATACTGCTCTTGGGCCTCTGCATCTCAGGACCGCTCCTACCGTCAGAAGCTTTTCCACCAACTCTTGAGCGTTTACTTGGACCCGGATTTACCGGGAGGGGCACAAACAATAGCAGCGGTCGACCTGCTTAACCGACATGCTGAAGAGTTTGACGCAGTGCATGTGTTAAAGCTCCTTCCAGAGGAATGGTCTCTACCGTTACTCCGTCCTTTCCTGTGTGGTGCGCTGAGGGCTAGTGTACATGCACGCTGCACTTCCCAGGTTGCAGTGGGGCTGGCCCGGGCACAAAACCTCCAGCTTCAGCATGATAGGGTGAGTTCTCATGAATTATGTTTTTATGTCAGAGCCTATTGTAGCCTGTCCTGTGGGCAGTGCTTTGAGATGTACTGTAGCTACAGTTCAGGGTGACCCGAGTTCAAGTCCCGGCTTAAGGAGCTTTCTTGGTCCTATCCCCCTCTCTCTCCTACTTCATGTCTTATCAGTTCTCTATACTATCCAATTTCAATAAAGGCAAAAACTGTGGGCCGGGCACTTCTATATTTGTACGTGTAAAGTAACCTCACTCGCATGTCTGTCTGTCAAATTTCATTTTGATATTTTTGCTGGGCATAAAGTAAAAAAATGGTCAGGGTGATGCAACTGTCTAGATATCAGAGAAGGGGGGGGGGGGAATAATAAAAAAAATTTATTTATTGAAAATAAAACCTAAATAGTAGTCTGATATTTTTTTATTATTATTATTTCTTAGGAGAAAAAAAAAATGAAACTTGAATATTTTTGAAAATATTTGTTTGAGAATTCAAAGAAGTCATATGGTAATAAGGCAAAAGACAAAATTAGTTCAGTTTGCAAAAAAAAAAAAAAAAGTCATGCAGTGTTTGTTTAACCCTTATGCTGCATTAGGGACATTTTTGGTCTTTTGCAGTTTAATTTCTTTGACCATTTTGGCTGTTTTAATGCAAATGTTATGAAATTTGGCAAAATTGTGACTTTTTGGATACATGTAAAAAATGTGATCCCATTTTGCAAAATATGTATAACACACACTGTGTAGATCAAATAGTAACACTCAGCACCATAAAGACCAAAAATGGCCCATTGAAACCCATTAAAACGTTGTTTAAATCTGAGGCTGTCAGTAATACATGAAACATTATTTTTGCACAAACATCCTTTCATTTTGAAGCAAAAGCATTATATTTGCATTATATAGTGTATTCCACCAGATGATGTCACTACATATTTATTCCCTATGGGTGGAAATGCACCTTATTTTAGGCAATAGGCAATGTTTAATAGGTGGCCATTTTTGGTCTCTAATGTGCTAAGTGGGATTTTTTTGCAAAGTGGGACTGTGATAATCCAAATCTAAAGTTTTCTCTTTGCATTTAGTTTATTGAAAATAATTGAATTTTTGTGTTTTTTCCTCTTATACAAATCGATGGTTTCGCAAACAAAACTGGTAATTAAAGGGTTAAAATCCTGAAATTGAATACATTTTTGGTAGTTATGATGAGGGCTGATGCTGGTTAAAAGATTTAACTTGGTAAAAGTGGAAAATAATAATAATAATATATAATATTTTAGGCAATGTTTAATATGTGGCCATTTTTGGTCCTTAATGCACTCAACGGTGTTAAAAATCTAATGCAGCACAAGGGTTAAATTCATGGTATTTGTTTGAAATAAGTAAATATTTACGCGCGCGCACAGACGGACACGCAGACAGACAGAAACGCAGACACGCAGACACGCACACACACAGACACACGAGACCACCTACAGTGTATGTTATTGACCCACTAACCACTGCATTCTGTGTTGCACAGCTGAAGTATCGAGGCGGCCCAATATTAGTGTCTGAAAAGAAGGGATGCCAGCTGTGCCACAACACCTTCAGCGAGCCAGACTGCGCCTGCTTGCCTGGCGGAACGCCGGTCCACATTCACTGTGTCGCCAAGAAAGCCCTGGACTTGCCAAAGCGCCATCATGAAAATGCCCACCACAGCAATCACACATGAAGCTGATCTGTGGGGCAGGCGACAAATTCTGGCCTTACACCTGTACTGCACACATGAGAAGGAAGTGCATAGAGCAACTGTTCAGAGGCCTCGCAAGAGCTGGACCTGCTTTCCCTGTGTGTGAGGGAGTCAGCCAACAAATAAGTGTTTGTGAGTTTGAGATAGTATTTATTCCATACACGCAACACTGACAATGAATATGAACTTTTAAATGAACGTCAAACTAACCCCCCACCCCACCCCCACCGCGCCTCAAACAAAAGATTGTCTACTGGTTGATCTTTTTAGCATTGCCTTATGACTGGTCCATTGGCTGTCTTGAAATATATAGTTTTTAAGTGGGTGGTATCCATGTTAACTTAACTATTATTTGCTAACTGTTTGAGGGTCAGAAAGCTAGTGTCTTGACTATTTCATTCATTCATAATTTTTATTTGGGTCAGCTTCAAAAAGAAATTTACAAACAAACATAGAAACAAAAGTGAAAATGCAATCTAAACAATAATAAAAACATAAATACATACTATCATACACTATACATACTAACATACTATCTGTTGCCTGTGAGCAGACTTATCAAAAATTGCTTTATGCGATTTGGCCGATCCATAGTTTTCATTAAACAAACACCAAAGTCACTTGCTCTGTTCTCAGAGAGAGACGGGTTATAGCCTTAAGTGATTGCATCATGGTTCTTTTAACATAAGGGAGAAATATAAGAAAACTAATTATTTTCATAATGTCATCATGAATATGGTTTGTAGTCATCAAAGCTCTTTTAAACCATTTAATAGTCATTTTCTGAGATAAAAAGGGAAGATTTTTCCAGAATTTCCGTGTTCATCTTCTGGCTACAGTTTGATCTGGGTAACTTCAGTTACATCAGTGTTATGTAAAATTATGCAATGAAAGTCTGATTAATTAGCACAACCCTAGAAAAATGTCTCTCTCTCCCCTCTTTCCCAAGGTTGATTTGGATTGATATTTCCCTTTAAAGACAAGTTTAAGATACAAAGTGATATTTTGTTATCAAACAAACCAATGGACTCAGGCTGTGCTGTGTTTGTGTGTACATGCTATAACTAAATGCTAAAGTTGCTTATAACATCCAAAATATTTGTTTCTCATATGCATGTGGTGATGTGGATGCGAGTCCTCATGTCTTAAATGCTAAGCTGTGATTTTAAAGATCAAAACATATTTTTAACGTGATCAATTACATTTGTGGTTTTTGGGGAAGCACAGTAGCAGAAATGGCTGCAGAGGGTTTTGCCTGAGAATAATCTGTAAGCTCATATTTGAATAAGTATCTGAAATATTTTCTCTGTGAAAGTGAAAATGGTGGGATTTTAAAGGTGGAATAAGTGGGGGAGGGGAGGCATAGATGAAACACTGCCTACTGAATAAATACTAAAAATATCCACGGTAGGATGGCTTGTTTCATTGATGGTTTTTCTTACAGAAACTGTTTTGCAAGTGAAAATATACAATTTATTATAGTGATCACTGGCTGCAAGGGTAATGGTAAATTATATCCAAACTAATTTGTCACATGGTTAAATTATTTAAATACTATTGTTCACAATCTTGAGTGGTGGATCTTCCAGCTCAAGTTCCACACTTGAAATGCCGTTGTAGGAAAGTTTCTGTGTGCTATTTAGTCTTTGCTTTGATGCATTTCTCCCAGAAAAAGTTCCATTCGTCAAACGTGCAACCAAAGTTTTCATCCTGTCTGCAGTGAGACTGTAAACTTTTCACCTTGAGCAACTAAATGGAAATCCTCTACACCTCTTTACATTCACTTTAGGTATTTTATACATATAAATATACATGGATACTGGTGTGTACATAGTGTATTAATAACTGTTTGTTGCTTTGTAAATCAATGCCGGTGTGGGTGGAATGTACAAAATGTAAAGACGTCCATTTTAATAAATGACTATGCCTACATGAATAGAGCGCACTGTTTATGATGATGTACTTCATGTAAAGAGATTAAGTGAAAGACAGAAGAGAACCTGTTCCATTTTTTTTTTCTTGTTTATCAATCCAACATCTTTGCAGAAGCATCATATGACTGACAGATGCTGCAGCATGAGGAATGGGACAAATCAATGCATCAATTTCATCAAGTATGATTCATATGGTTTGATTAGGGTCCAATTCTCACTATTGATGGTTTCCTCAATAAACCCCTAATTACTGTTTATAAGGTATATGTTAAGTTTAGGCATTTGTTAGTATCCTAACATATAGGATTAAAGGGTTAGTTCACCCAAAAATGAAAATTAAGTCATCAATTACTCACCCCCATGCTGTACCAACCCCGTAAGACCTTCGTTCATCTTCGGAACACAAATAAAGATATTTTTGATTAAATTTGAGAGTTGTATAAACACATTGGCTCCTAAGGGACTGCCTCTTGACGGCCCAGAAAGTCAATGAAGAAAATGTTTAAATATCCCAAGTGACTACAGTGGCTCAACTATATGTTTATCAAGCGACGAGAATACTTTTTGTGCGAAAAAACAAACAAAAATAACGAGTTTATTCGACTATTCCGGCAGTCCCTTAGGAGCCAATGTGGTAGTTATACAGCTCTCAAATTTTATCAAAAATATCTTTATTTGTGTTCCGAAGACGAACGAAGGTCTTACGGGGTTGGTACAGCATGGGGGTGAGTAATTAATGACGTAATTTTGATTTTTGGGTGAACTAACCCTTTAAGGGATGTAGAAAATGGTCTTTCAGAATAAGGCATTAATATGTGCTTTATAAGTAACAGCCAATATCTTACTACATACATGCTAATAAACAGTTAATAGTGAGAATTGGACCCTAAACTATACACTCACCTAAAATATTATTAGGAACCTGTTTAATTTCTCATTAATGCAATTATCTAATCAACCAATCACTTGGCAGTCAATGCATTTAGAGGTCCTGGTCAAGACAATCTCCTGAACTCCAAACTGAATGTGAGAATGGGAAAGAAAGTTGATTTAAAGTCCCCGTGAACCGGAAGTTGCAAACGATTTTTCTCCAGTGCTGTGACGTATTTCCAAGTGAAACGAAATATTGAACAGAGGGCAGAGTTTTACTCTAGCGCTCCTCCTCTCCATCTCTCGCTCATAGCAAACTAACGGTTTTAGGGGAGTGGTTAAAAGCGTTTCCCCACCCAAGCTGTGAAACCTACGTCATCAGAAAAAGAAACCGTTCCAGACCGGAAGTAACTTTTCAGATTTTGATACAAGGTAAAACATTTTTTTAATATATATTTACTTGCACAGATTAATTGTTCACCACAAGACTAGTAATATGCGCTAACAAAGTAAATAGGTTCAATTTTGATTTCACGGGGACTTTAAGCAATTTTGAGCGTGGCATGGTTGTTGGTGCCAGATGGGCCGGTCTGAGTATTTCACAATCTGCTCATTTACTCGGATTTTCACGCACAACCATTTCTAGGGCTTACCAAGAATGGTGTGAGAAGGGAAAAACATCCAGTATGCGGCAGTCCTGTGGGCGAAAATGCCTTGTTGATGGTCAGAGGAGAAGTGGCTACAATTTGCAAGAGCTCACCAAAATTGGACAATTGAAGACTGGAAAAATGTTGCCTGGTCTGATGAGTCTCGATTCCTTTTGAGACATTCAGATGGTAGAGTCAGAATTTGGCGTAAACAGAATGAGAACATGGATCCATCATGCCTTGCTACCACTGTGCAGGCTGGTGGTGGTGATTTAATAGTGTGGGAATGTTTTCTTGGCTCACTTTGGGCCCCTTAGTGCCAATTGGGCATCTTTAAATGCCACGGCCTACCTGAGCATTGTTTCTGACCATGTCCATCCCTTTATGGCCACCATGTACCCATCCTCTGATGGCTACAACCAGCAGGATAATGCACTATATCACAATGCTAGAATCATTTCAAATTGGTTTCTTGAACATGACAATTAGTTTGTTGTACTAAAATGGCCCCCACAGTCACCAGATCTCAACCCAATAGACCATCTTTGGGATGTGGTGGAACGGGAGCTTCGTGCCCTGGATGTGCATCCCACAAATTTCCATCAACTGCAAGATGCTATACTACCAATATGGGCCAACATTTCTAAAGAATGCTTTCAGCAACTTGTTGAATCAGTGCCACATAGAATTAAGGCAGTTCTGAAGGTGAAAGGGAGTCAAACACAGTATTAGTATGGTGTTCCTAATAATCCTTTAGGTGAGTGTATATTCCTTAATTCTTGAAATCGTCTCGGTTACGTATGTAACCCTCGTTCCCTGAGTAGGGAACGGAGACGTTACGTCAGAAGTGACGGAGATTGGGGGGGGTTTCGCATAGAAAGCCAATCCTCTTCGAGTATTTAAACACGAGCCAATGGCATGCAATGCCTTGGGGCTGCGGAATTTTGCATAGCGTACTCCGCCCTACTCCGTGAGTATAAAAGGAGGAAGTGAACGCAACCGCAGTATGTCTTCGCTGAGGAGCCAAGACTGAACTCGGCGTCTACCCAGCGATACAGCAGAAGTGGCAGGGAGACGTAACGTCTCCGTTCCCTACTCAGGGAACGAGGGTTACATACGTAACCGAGACGTTCCTTTCGTAGTCACTTCGAGTTACGTCAGAAGTGACGGAGATTGGGGGTCAGTGCCATCACGCCATCTTCAAGCTGTCTTCCAGTGCCCTGCGAAAGTCTGGACCCCGAGCCTTACCTCTTTTTTTTTTTTTTTTTTTTGGGGATCCGACTTTGACACAGGATTACCAAGGTACACTGGGAAACATATCCCGAAGGGACATGCTACTAGCTGCCTACCGAAGGGAGGACTTACGAACACATATGGCCACATAGGAACACATATGGAACACTGGAGTACCAACCGCAGGTGGCTACTAATTTCAACTCCAGGGGTGGCAGATGGCTTGCCAAGGGAAGACACATGCTCAGAGAGGCTTACAGTGGATAATACACATGAGACGGTTACCAAGGGGAACCGTGCGCATGGAGGCACCTAGCCAGCATCCAGAGCAACAGCAGTGGTGCCCGCATCGTCGGTGCTGGAGGACTCAAGACTTCAATGGAAGAACTGAGGAAATATCGCACTTATCCAGTCCGGGGAGTGGAGTGGCGAGCAAGCGAAGACACCTGAGCGGATCCAGAACTGGCCGAAACGAGTACGTGAGAGGATACCGGCTCAATTCGCAGATTATAGAATCTGGCGAAGGTGTTGGGTGTCGCCCAGCCTGCAGCTCTGCAGATGTCTGTTAGCGAGGCGCCGTGCGCTAAAGCCCAAGAGGAGGCTACACTCCGAGTGGAATGGGCCGTCACACCAAGGGGGCACGGAAGGCCTTGCTGCTGGTAAGACAAAGCAATGGCATCCACTATCCAGTGGGACAGCCGTTGCTTTGAGAGAGCCCTTCCCTTCTGGCTCCCCCATGACAGACAAAGAGCTGGTCTGAGGTCCTGAAACACTGCGTTCTGTCGACATAGGTGCGGAGAGCACGTACCGGACAGAGCAGTGCCAAGGCTGGGTCTGCCTCCTCCAGGGCAGCGCTTGCAGGTTCACCACCAGGTCCCGGAGGGGAGTGGTAGGAACCTTGGGCATATATCCAGGCCGGGGTCTCAGGAATACGTGAGAGTAAGCCGGCCCGAACTCCAGGCACACTTCGTCAACAGAGAGTGCGTGCAGGTCCCTTACTCTCCTGATGGATACCAATGCAATCAGGAGTGCTGTCACATAGGACAGGGCAAAAACTCTACCGACTGCAAAGGCTCCAGGGGAGGCCTCTGCAGAGCACCCAGGTCTACTGAGAGGTCCCCAGAGGGCAGGAGGGGAGGGAGGCGGATTTAGCCCCCTCACTCCCCTCAGGAACCTGATGACCAGGTCATGCTTCCCATAGACTTACCTTTCACTGCATCATGAGACGCGGCAATGGCCGCGACATAAATCCAAAGGGTGGAGGGCGACAGCCTGCGCTCCAACCCCTCTTGCAGGAAGGAAGCATGACTCCGATCGAACATCTCCGGGGGTCTTCTCAGCGAGAAGAACACCAATTGACGAAGAGGTTTCACTTCAACGCATAAAGGTGTCACGTGGACGACGCTCTTGCGGAAGTGATGGTTGCCGCCACCGCAGGTGGCAGCGAACTCAAACCTGCCTCGTCCCGTCCTGGAGCCACACGTGCAGCCTCCAAGATCGGGACGAGGGTGCCACAGAGTGCCCCGTCTCTGAGAGAGTACGGTCTCAGAGGAATAGGCCAAGGAGGTGCTGTCGCGAGGAGCAAGAGTTCGGAGAACCACGTCTTGGTGGGCCAGTAGGGGGCTACCAGCAAGACCTGCTCCTCGTCCTCCTTGATCTTGCACAACACCCGTGCAAGGAGGCTCACTGGGGGAACGCACACTTGCGTGGGCCCCGTGGCCAGCTGTGCGCCAGCGCATCCGAGCCGAGAGAGAATAAACTGGGCGCAGTGGGACGAGTCCCGAGAGGCGAACAGGTCTAACTGTGCCTCCCCGAACTGGTCCCAAATCAGCTGGACCGACTGGGGATGGAGTCGCCATTCGCCGGAGATGGGACGGGCCCGGGACAGCTCGTCGGCTGCCCGGTTCCGGTCTCCAGGAATGTAACTGCACGAAGGGACCTCAGGTGCTTCTGACTCCATATCAAGAGGTGGCGGGCGAGCTGCGACAACCGGCGCGAGCGTAGACCCCCCCTGGTGGTTGATGTACGCTACTGCCGTAGTGTTGTCTGAGCGGACAAGCACATGCTGGCCCTAGAGCACGCTCGGAAGCGGTGCCGGGCGAGCCGTACTGCCAACAGCTCGAGGCAATTGATGTGCATGAGGCGCTGGGCTCCTGTCCAGGAACCGGCGGCTGCATGCCCATTGCACATGGCACCCCAACCCGTGGTAGACGCATCCGTGGAGACAACGAGATGCCTGGAAACTCGCTGAAT